GGTAAACGAAATATGGAGATTATATTCGTGTGTTAAGGTATTAATTGTGGGGTCCTTTCACGAATTCTTCCCTCTACGATACCGCGAACATTTCTCTGACCATCTCGTTTATTCTTTCATCTCTGCTTCTTCATAATCGTGACGTAAGATTGTATTATACTCTCTTTTCTCCCATTAACATTTGGATCTGTGGTCAAATATTTTTCAGATGTTACATTTTTACAATATATAATGTTCTTACATGCTAAATCCTCATTTATGCTGTCATTTACGTGGATACAAATTCTTCCGCCCACTGTTTCACTTATCAAATATCTTAATAGTATAATTGTTAACTTTTTGGGCAATATCCATCGTTGTTTTATTAAAAAAAAAAAACTTCTCAGAGACTGGATTTTGCCTCCGCCCTCAGGTAAAAGCCTATTCAGTTGAGCTAGTCTCTATCAACGTTTCGGAGACTGGATTATAGCTCCGTCTTCAGGTAAAAGGCTACTCAGCTGTTATACAGTATATTCTCCAGAGACAGGGACTAGCTCTATCGATTGGGCTCAACTGAGTAGGCTTTTATCTGAGGACGGAGGCAGAGTCTGGTCTCCGAAACATTGTTTTTTACATTAAACCAGGAAGATTGATAATATTCAAAATGTTAAGAACTGCATCACCATAAGATCGTTGCAAGCCTTTATATCTTAGTTTAATTGCAAGCTAATATGTTTAGCTCTGTATGGGGCTCAAACATGGACACTTAGGGCAGTAGATCAGAAACATCTGGAAAGCTTCGAAATGTGGTGTTGGAGAAGAATGGAGAAGATCAGTTGGACCGATTATGTGAGAAATGAAGAAGTGTTATTTGGAGTTAATGAGCAGAGGAATATCCTACACGAAATAAGAAAACGGAAGGCTAATTAGATTGGTCATATCTTACGCAGTAACTGGCTTCTAAAAGAAGTTATCGAAGGAAAGATAGAGGGGCGGATAGAAGTGACAAGAAGACGAGGAAGAAGACGTAAGATGCTGGATGACCTTGGGGACAGAAGAGGATACTGTCATTTGAAGGAGAAAGCTCTAGATCGCATTAAATGGAGGAATTGTTGTGGAAGAGACTGTGGACCTGTCGTCTTGACAGATTACTGATGATGATGATGTTTAGACACCTCCCCCCCCCAAAAAAAAAACTGTGCGAGGATTTTAAAAGTACACAACATGAATGTACTAGTACATTAAGGCTGGACCCACCGAGCGCACAAAATGCGTCCGTTGTAACGAAGGTACTTTATGACGGACGTTGCTGATCACACCACACCGTTGCAGAATGCGGTGCACAGTTTTTTGTCTGCAATGGAGACAGAAGAAAGCGTAGCATTCGCCCCTCTTGTTTATTTCTACAACGGTGTGGGTTTCCACATAACAGACCAACTACAGATCAGATCGTCGGATATTGGAGAAAAAATGGGAGTACAATGAGACAGTAAATCAACTATTCACAGCCTTCTAGAAAGCCTATGGTTCAGTTAGGAGGGAAGTATTGTACAGTCTGTATATGAAGTTGACAGATTTAGTTTGCTTTCAAAGTATAGATTAATTTAATAAATCTTAACTTTAAGCTTGACCCAGTCATGTCAGTTCAGTATTAATTAGTGAATAAACACATGTAGCTGGCACGGGAGAAATGAAAAAAAAAAACTATATTTAAGCCGGAAAACCCGAAGGAAAAAGCAGCTTGGCTAGGCTGGTAACGCTGTCTGTATCCCGGAGACAAATATGCAATTCGCATTTCGGCCAGACATCCAGAAACCCCGACATTTTTATGTATTTCTCCAGGTGAATGCCAGGCCAGAACCATCAAAGACGCTACGGTAGTCCTCTTTTCAAATCGTTACTATATATAATCATTTTTCCATCTCTGTCAATTTTGAAATCTGTGCCTTTAAAACAACGTCGTTAAAAATTGCCTAGAAATCATGAAGAACCCGAGACCCCAATTTGGATGACCGCTCAGTTTGACTGGGGACAGTTTCGATTGGGAATATTTCTTGGCGTCTACCCTCCCACTGCACTATCTTCATCTTTTGCTTCCATAAGGACGCAAAACAGGTTTATCAGCCGATGTCAATGGTAAAGTTACAGAGTCCGTGTTTAACCAACTGATCACTGTGCCATGAGGATATATGGGGGAGTGGAGATACAGATCCACGTATTACTGACCTCGGCAGTAGTTAGGAGTTCAGTGGTCAGTTTCATGACCAATTTACTCCCGGTAGGCTGAGTGGGCCCCAGAGCCGGTCTAGATGACGTGCAGAGCCCTTACCGGGACTCGAACTCCGACCCTTCGGCCTTCCAGCCCATAGTCAGTCGCTATACCGGTTCCCAATGAGGGTGATCTTTCTCTCTCTCTCTCTCTCTCTCTCCTCTCCCAATTTGGAGCTTAGGGCTGATTTCTCAGTTTCAGGATCATTTTAAAGACGTTAGGACTCCTCGGAAGGGTGATCAGCCCGCCGCAAAGCCGCTACCTAAACACAGGACAACATAAACACAAAACAAACGCATACACACACCAAACATCCATGCCTTTTGTGGGATTCAAACCCACGAACCCGGCTGCCGAGCGAGTAAAGACAGTTCATGCCTCAGACCGCTCGACTACCGTGAAACAGGTGATATAATGGCATTAAATACTGCATTACTGACCTCATTGTCGAACTACTTACTTACTTATGTAGCTGAGCCCTTATTGAAGAGCCGCCAATTCTGCAGCTACTCAAGAACTTCCCAGTATTTTATGGAACTCAAAGGTTCATTACCGTGTTCACAAGAGCCTTCCACTGGTCCCTATCCTGAGCCAGATCCCTCTAAGATACATTTTAATATTGTACACCCACCTACGCCTTGGTCTTAGCAGTGGTCTCTTTCCTTCTGGCTTTCCCATCAATATCCTATATGCATTCCTCCTCTCCCCATTCGTACTACATGCCCTGCCCAACTCATCCACCTTGACTTGATCAGTCTAATTATTCTTGGAGAAGAGTTACAAGTTATGAAGCTCCTCATTATGCAGTTTTCTCCAACCTCCTGTCAATTCATCCCTCTTCGGTTCAAATATTCTCAACACCCTGTTCTCAAACACATCGAATTAATTACTTAGCTACTTGAATGTACTTTACGTTTAGTGAACAGCTGACATCAAAGTCCGTTCTTAAGTGTATTTATTCACTACCCTGAGTGCATTGCACTTTGACTCTATGTAGTTGAATTTTTAACTATTGAATGCTGTCAAAATGAAAGTCATCTTCATTAATTCCCTATTAAAATAACACATATCTTAAATTGCTTCACTCACCATAAGAACAGCCCTTCAAGAGTGTCCAATGGTCTAGCTTGTTAAAAACAGGACCCCAATTAACAATCGTCCATAAGGAAATGTAAATGCATCCTTTCACTGAAAGACCATAAAGCTACTTACCACTCGATTTTATCAGAACTTCCAACAGATGGGATGTCACAGAATCTTACAGATGCCATCAACTAAGAAATGGTTGTCAGTTGGAGAGATGTGGGTATTGGAGATGGCTCTTCTCCACTATACGGGATGTCTTTGTGTAAGTGCCTCTTCAGGACCGTTGGGATTACTGTAGAGGGGGGATTCGTGGTTAAGTGTCTGCCTTGTACCGCATGTAATTGAATTTTTGTGTCGATAATACCACTCTTGGTGGTTTTGTCAAGAGGATGTTCTCAACATCAGCGATATTGCAGATGTATATGCACGTTCCAGTACTTGTAACTTCTGAAAAATTAAGTTGGGAACATTAAGGACATAGTTTCGTGTTGCAAAAGCAGTGACTACGAAGTTCATTCTTTAATAAGTTTATTTCTTAAGTAGATTCTAATGGGTTCTGACGATGGTGGATAACTCAGAATTACTGGGTTTTTGGACTTTTTCCACCGTCCGGAATTTTGGGTAATATAGGACACGAAGTTTCGGAAATTGGATCTGTTGCCGTCTTCAGGTGAGAAAGGAAGACACTCAGTTGGGCCCCTTAGAAAGAGCTAATCTCAATCAATGAGATTGAGATGCTGGGAAATTCTTGAGGAGCCGCCAAGTCTGCAGCTACTCAAGAGCCCTCCACTGGTCCCTATCCTGAGCCAGATCAATCCAATCCATATCATCCCATTCTATCTTTCTAAGATCCCTTTTAATATTGTCCACCCACCTACGCCCTGGTCTCTTTCCTTCTGGCTTTCCCACAAATATCCTATATGCATTCCTCCTCTTCCCATTCGTGCTACATGACCTGTCCACCTCATCCTCCTTGACTTGATCATTCTAATTATACTTGGAGAAGAGTACAAGTTATGAAGCTCCTCATTGTGCAGTTTTCTCCAACCTCCTGTCACTTCGTCTCTCGTCGGTCCAAATATTCTCTTCAACAACCTGTGGAGAACTCCAAGAAAACTTACTTTTATTTTTACGACCCTTAATTCGGGTAGAAGTATTAAGATTCGTACATACGTCAAGTTAACCTTCTGGCCCAATGTATTTCACATCCATATAAACATGAAAGAATTACAACGAAGACAGCCTTCAAGAAACAAAAACTGGAGGGGTACAACTGTGCCACAAGGAGGCCATCAGTCGGTTTCGGAACTTGATTACAAATTCTTAGACCCTGTCCAATTTCGATGGAAAAAATGCCTTGAAGGATTCCACCGAAGCTCCACCTTGCATTTATTCGTACCTACCCAGGAGGGCAGAGGCACTGCTAGAGGCGGGGTTGCTTTAACATGGTCACGCCATTTTAACCAAAATACCTGTTCTTTTTCTTTGGCTTCCTTTTATCTTCCTCATTAGTATTCTTTTTAAACTCATACTGGACTTCCAGACACTGCAATGTGCCTTAAAGGAAACGATGTCAGGAATCATAGGAACAGATGTTTGATGAATATTATTTTCCTCAGTTACCATACTAGAAAATAAATAATCCCAAATAAATAAAATAACACACTATGTCTTAAAGAAAATGAAGATTTATTCTGATATATCTGTCACATGCAGTGACTTTTTGTTGTATCACAGTCTTCTGATTTCTACAGAAAACAAATTACAGTCGTATCTTGTCTAGAACAAAATGGCAGAATTAGTTTCTGTACATTCAGAAGCAAGTAACTTATCTACACCAAATTAAATGCCATTTATTTAAGCTTTATTTTAGTAAATGCAAAAAACAAAACCTGTGCCATTACTACAATGACAGTATACTGATCCTGGCCATTTTGTCTAACATCACTGAAGGAAACCCTGAAAACGTTTAATGTGTTTTCATGAACTGTAAACTAAATACAAATTCAGTTTAGTTGTATCTGTATTAAGCCTAGTTAACAGAGAATAATAATATTAAAAATCGAGAAAGGAAATTGTTTTCTGCACTGAAATACTAGTAACATAAACAAAAGAATATCAGGTTATGTACTTAAAAACAGGGTTTCTAAGATTTATAAAATTTTACTCCAGAGCATATAAAGTTACTTTTACTGCTTAAAGATCCACCACAAAGTCTAGCACCTCCCCAGCAATGGATATCCAAAAATACATATCTTTAGACACAAAAACAAACAATACAAAACTCTTTTTAATTATGAAGATCCAAATATTTTAATTTTTTCTTACAAATTCGTTCAGAAGTATCTTCCTCCAAAACACATTAAATTTCTAGCTAAAATCTCTTCAATTCAACAGTAACTAGGTTTTATATATATATTTATTTATGTTCTAAGCACTTTTAAAATGTATGATTACAATTTTTTGAGATCCTTTGTTTATATGACTACAGTTCCTTCGTAGAGAAAAAATAATACATGTTCACAATATGTCATTAAGAAATAATGGCACAAAAGACAAAGATTATCAGCACTCAGGGACACATCTCGCAGAGTTAGCAATTATGCTTTCAAAATATGTACAGCAAAATTATACAAAATTACAAGCTTGCCACATGATGTTGAGTGACATAATAATGGGATTGTAAACAGTACCAATGAGAGGTATTAATAAGCTCCGACAAAACTTTAGAAAATGTTTAGTTTCAGTTAAGAAATAAAGGAATTATAAAAAAAAAAGAGAGAGAAAAATGAGTAAGCAGTAAATGAAAGAACACATAGTAACGGAATATGAACAATTTTGAGGGGTACAGAGCATAAAAATGTAGGCCTACATTTTGAAATTAGACGTTTTGGCACAATGAATTCACAAGGAAGACATATTGTATCTGAATAATTGTTAATTTATTAGTCAATTAAATAAAATAATTTAGAAAAATACTGTAGCAGTGACATAGCTGGTTTTAAACATTATTTTTTTTAATATATACAAGAGAAAATGGATTATGTTACAGGAAAAAGCATAAAACGAATGGCATTGCTTTAAATATCATTAATCTTTACACAAAGCTTAATTCTGTCTTGGGACCATATTCACGAGCCCTGCTATCTTGTAAAACCTGAATTTCTGAACACATTTACAAGCATATTACTAAAAAGATATACTGGTAAAAAAAATCTTACAGAACCCCAAGAGAAATATACGTGCTACATTCTCACACAGATCCCCCCCCCCTGCATATGGCAGATTGGTTGTGCGACTTATTGCATCATAATAATAATAATAATAATAAAAAGCTTTTTATACTCCTTTATTCTTCTTCACTTTAGTTTTCATTGAAAGATTATGCATTTCAATTAATTTTAAATGCTTATGAATTTCACTTTTTCAGTTTTAGACAAAAAATTTGAGATCTAAAAGCTTGTGATGATGGTACATTAGTATAAATATTATGTTTTTGGACAGGACGATGGATGATGTCCAGAAATATAATATTTGTACAGATTTATTTGGTTACTTTTTTTTAGTCTTCTTACAAAAAGCATAAACATGAAATTTTCCTATGTCAAAATCATGGAAGCCACTAAATTCCTGCAATTTATACTTAAATGATATAATAACTTAAAACATTTGAGGTCAATTTGGTTTGGTACAGTATAACATATTAAGCAGGGCACTGCATACTGAAAAGCTAAGCTAAGCTGCTTAAAAATATAGGTAAGGCTACAACATTTAAATATTTATATGGATAAATAATCAAACAAAGTTTAGTGTACAGCATGGAAGAAAACATTGCAAGCTAACGTTAGGAACAGCAGAGAGAAAAAATATTTGTACTTCTTTGACCTCCAATTAGCTATATTAACACAAAATATAATATTTTGACAACCATCAGCTATGTCAGCAATTTATACAATTATTGCACATTATCATATCTTTTCTAATTTTGGACATATATGTATATATTTCAGAACTCTGGAGCTCCAAAAACACCCACCCACAACAAAAATTGTGCCAAATACTTTACTTCGTTTTAACCCTATAAGTGCCAAGTGTCAAGTACTCTGACCTATACATCTGCTGTATCTGGAAGAATGTGACATCTATTGGCATTTTAAATGAACTACATAATTAACAAAAGAAACTCTTGAAGGGAATTTTTCAATAAAGCAGAAATGTTCAGCGAGTTTTTAAACCTGCAGTACCCCCTAGGAAAGATCAGTTCCAACAAACTAATGACTTGACACTGAAGGAATTAAAGCTAGTACTTCTAGACTTAAAAAAAATTATGTTCACGTACTGCCGATGGTACAATCATTCCATTATTTTTTATTTAAAAGTAACCAGTCTTTTAAGATATATTCCTACATTCAGGGAGTATATTATTCTGCTTCTGTATAATTCGTCTAACTCTGTATTTATACATACTGTCAGCCAAGACATTTACATATGTGCATGCCTGTAAATACCATAAAGTGGGGAAAAATTCTCATTAATAACTCATTAATATAGTGGCTATGGCTTTAGAACTGGATTATGTTCAAAATCCATATCTGTTTCAGAAACTTTTTCTTAAATGAGCCCAAATTCGTAACAGACTGTGAATTTACACTGTACTTGGCCTCATCATCACATATACAGAATTCGTACCACTTTCTTCTAAAGCCTGTGTAATGTATCATTGCTTCTTTTCATCAATTCACCTTATTTGTAGCTTGGTGATTAGCAGCCTTCTGCCGCTACCTATAAATCTGCAATAATATTATGATCACCTGCTGGGTCTTACATCTTTTCTCCTTAACAGTCTTTGACAGCTCTTCTAGCAGTCTGCATACAGAAACAACACATTGAGTTGTTGTATTTTCCAACACCATAGTGTCTTTTTTTCGTCTGCAGTTAGTAGGGGTATGGCCGGATATACAGAGATGGAAAGGCGTTAAATTGGGCCTAAATTTCCTTCTCTAACCCCTCACCAATTTCAGTGACCCATTTCAAATGTTTCAGAAACCCCTGCTGTGCCTTTTCTATCATTTCATGTTCCACTTTCACAGCGAGGCATATTCGTGTGCACCAATTGGGATGCAATTTGAAATAATTTAATAATGCAACCTAATAATGTATATTCACTTTCGCTATTAATTATGCAATCGTTAAAGACTTCAGACTTAACACAAAAACTGAAAAAGGAGTAAATAATTTGACACTTCATAACGTACCCATTAGCAGGAAGTGGCGTTTCAATTTGGAAGCTGAAAGTCATTATGAAATGTGAACGAAAGCTGCAGAACAATCAGTACCAGCATATCTAAGTGAAAGATTATAATGAACTGACCAACAAAGATCACATACAGTTCTTTTTTAAAGAACTCAGTTACGAAATAATAATTATACCACATGCTTCGATGTATTAGTTCTGGCATAACAGTCACAATGCTAGGAGACAGCTTTGAGAGTTTGTACAATTTCCACAACAATATTGTTTTGTTATGTTTATGTACTGTCACCAGTGATTATCATGAAGTAAGAACATAATGACAATCAATATACTGCTTGTAACTTTCCATACAACTACACTTTATATACACAGTTCACAACTTCATGAATTTCCTTTAATAGGAAATTTTAATGTTCCATCTTGTATACACTGATGTCCACAACTTCTCAACATGTAACATTTCAATATCTTGCTAACTTTTCAACACACAATGTGCGGTGCCTTCTTTATTTATCTTTCGAACAATGTTCACCCAATCCTCCAATCTCGGTGCACATGACAGAGCTAAATCGCCTAGTTTTCGTCTTGCCATGAAAACAAATTCCCCTGTACCACGTCTTGCACCACAGTGAAGAGCGACATTGAGGAACACTTCTTCATCACTATTACCCATCACAACACTGTTTGAGTCATCAACAGATGTAGATGAGAAGGACACGTTGTCTTCTGTTGACTGTCTCAACAACTTCGTCAGTTTTACAGTCAGTTGGGATACCTCAAGTTCCTCCTTGTTTTCAATGCTTCTAATGATACCTCGGGCAACTGTAATGTAATGGAGAAAAGCAGACACGTTAGTATGTTGCATTCGATTCCCACCTCATGACTCAAGGTACGCACGTAAAAGATCCTCATGTCTCTAGGAGACCTCTGAGCAAAATTAGGTAAAGTTTCCCGCCCAAGTAGTTTCCAATGCCTCCGGTAGATGGGGGAAGTATCTGGTACCACAGTCAGTAGAGGGGCCGAACTCGCTGGCTGAAAAGGGCTGATAGCGAGCACCAGTACCGGAAGGGTATGGCGACTGGTAGAATATCAAAGGGGGACATACAATAGATCAACTGGTCGCGGTGCATGGGGAAACCTACCCCCTCCAATAATGAATGAATGTTGCATTTGAGGTCCATGGCAGTGAAGAGTTATAGTCTTCTGGGTTGTAATGCGGTTTAGTCAGGGGACAGTTTGAAGTTTCCTCTATCTTTATGTTCAGCCAAGCAAGAAACCAACATATGCAGGCGACAAGCTCAACCCAGAACATTGTACTCTTCAACTGGATTAATAATTTATCCATGTTCCTTATCAAAGATGTAACACTCAAGTATTTTCTCAATAGTTGCATGCTAAGTATCTGGTTTGATGAATAACTGACATTTAAATTTATAGATCAAGAATTTCTTACCAGAGCTGTCATTTTACACTAACAGTTCTGAAGGTTCTGAAAATAATACAGCTTAAATGTCACGTCACAATACGAAATGAACATTCTGCAGCTGTTACAAATGAAATGCATGTTTAAAAACACTGAGGAATATATTTCATGGTTACAAGAACATATTAATATGTTAATAAAACACTAATAAATATGTAAATGAGGCTGAGGGTCCAACCTCTTTGGGCACTCCTTCATGTAAGATTAATCTATGTCATCTTTCCAATCCTTGTTCGCATTTAGAAGGTTATTATTTCACAGCCTCTTAAATACCAGACCAGATTCAAGGACACAACTCATATAATAAGTTTATGTATATGAAGGCTCTAGATTAGCCTGAAGGAAGGAAAGAGAGAAGAAGCATGTACCCACCTAAATCGCTGGTGCAGAACGCATGGGCCATCTCTTCTTTAGTACAAGGCCGACATTCTGTAATATTAGAAAAAGAAAATTAGAATTGTTAGGTCTGGTCTTAATGGATATGAGTTTCAGTTCCCACAGATTGAGGGTTTCAAAGCAGTGACTACATGTATGAAGCGTTCTTGTATCTTCAGGTATATGTTATGTAGTCCGATGAAAATCAACCGATGTTTTGCAGCCCCCGAAAAAAAAAACTTATATGTTCCGGACTTTCACCAGACTACACAACATTACAACCAAGAAGTATGAACTCCTCAGAGCAGGATATGATTGCCCTACAATTATGTTTGACGCTAAACATTGCCTGATATGGGCCTAAAGTTGCACTACGCCCTTCTTCAGGCAACTGGTTGCTGTTGTTATACTCCGTGGCTTTAGTCCCCATGCGGACTATACGGAGCGACCGCCGCTTGTCGGCGAATTAGTGCCAACTTTGGTGGATAGAGGGTGAAGCATGGTCAGCGTGACGAATCCCCACGGCCGTTAATTTCGGTTTTCTAGACCGGAGCCGCCATTTCATCGAAATGGCACCTCAATCAGCCTCACGACAAATACATGGACGTTAAGTTAAACATTTGCAACAGAATGCTGAAATACAGAATTAACATTCTATGGTTTGTTTTCATTTCACAACGATGTCATTACCTCGCTATCTGGATTCAGGAACTCTAAAGGATCTGGAAGGAAGCGACCGTGTCCTTGGGTATTATTCCAACATTTTTCTGACTGGACTGAGGAAAACCAAGTATATTCCTATCAGTACAACCGGTGAGGCCGAGGCTCGAATCAAGCGCCTCCCAAATACAAATTCAGTTCCGTCTGCTGCGGAAGCCAAGAATGGTGGAGCTACGCATTCACTCCTCCATACATCTTCATAGCGTAGTGCTTAATTAATTATGCACAGGGACAACTTTACCGATTTATATCTTTTGTTTCGGTATCTATGTCCATGTTTATATATGACAAATGTATCGAATTCATACTGTGGTCTTTTGCGTTACTGAAGTTCTGCAGTCTGGCCGGTGGGTGCAGACTCTTCAGGGAAGCGTCCCAAGTTCATGTTTAGCCTGAAGACAGCAGGCTGACATAACCTACATCTTCATTGTTGGCCCGCCTCTGCGGTCTAGTGGTCAGAGTTCCTGCCTGCAGATCAAGAGCTCCCGGTTTCGATTCCCGGCGCTACCAGACTTCCTGAGAAGTAGTGGGTTTGGAACGGGGTCCACTCAGCCTCGTGAGGATAACTAAGGAGCTACTTGAATTGAAAACTAGCGGCTCCGGTCCAGAAAACCGAGATTAACGGCCATGGAGATCCGTTGCGCTGACCACGCGACACCCTCTAACCGCAAATGATAGCACTAACTTCGCCGACAAGCGGCGGTCGCTCGGTCGGTATAGTTCGTTTGCGGACTACAGGACACGGAGTTCGTTTTGATTTCACTGCTGTCAAAACTTCGAATATTTTGGGATAACATAAACTATGAGTAATATAGGAAATTAGAAGTGCCTAAATCTGTCCTAATGATCTTATGGAAATTTGGCACGTTCCCTTAAATTGCCAGCAACTAACAAGGAAAAAGGTTATTTGCTGAGGGCAAGTCACTGACCCTTCCGCCAGTCGCTCACTTGATCCAAGGAAACAGGAACAACAGCAAATTCCAAGGATTCTGGTTCTTATGCCCCTGCGGAACCCCCCCCCCCCCTTCTCCTCTTGCCGGCCCAAGGTCAGGCTTTCAAACATGATCTGGTTTTAGCGCGGCGTTTACTGCGATCTGCGAAATTGTCTCCTCTGTCGTGGTCAGTAATTCGAAAAGGATTTTCACAGACTTTCCGGCAATCTGCGTCCCGTTCCGTCCGCTTCTACTAAACGCGTTTCCTTGATGCTCGGTAAGGAAAACAGACGTCGTTTTGTCAATGGCTTATAAAACGTGAATGCACAATTATCCCAGTGCTGCATTTAGTTATCATTACACCGTAACGAACTCTCAGTTGATGCAGGAACAGACTACGTGCTGGAGGGCCGGAGTTTGATGTGCAGCGGGAGCAAGAACTTTGGTGCCCGCCCATCTTCCTATCCAATGGGTAAGGGGGCTCTGTTCTCGGAGCTAAAGCGGCCGGGGTGTGAAGCTGACCACTCGCCTCCAACTTTTGTCGAGGTCAAGAATGGTGTAGTTATCCCTCTACCCCCCAATACGTCATAACGGGGACCTACACCGTGAAGGTGTATGGGAGGAAAGGCTATATAGATCCATATATCTAACCTTGCAATAAATGGAGAATAGCCAACTTCATGCTACCGCCACTTTACACGCGTGGAAACAGCGCCCACCCCCGGCTGGTTACTCACTGAGTCGGCCCCTAAGCCAGTCTACAAGAAAGAATCGCTTGCCTGTGCCGTGAGTCGAACCCCTTCTTCCAAGAACCTAACACGCTGTTTTCTTCTCATCGAAAGATAGAAGGGCAAGTCTGTTCCTTACACAATGAGCTACAATTTACATGGGCCTCTATAAAATATAACGACATATCAAGGATATAAAAACTCATGCCCGTTGTAACAGTTTTTACATAAGCCTTTTATTTCCGCGTACTATATACTATATGTTGGGTACGGGGTAGCGTAGTTGGTTGAGGCACCATGCTACAAGCTGGAAGGTCACAGGTTCCATTCCCGGTAACGTCACTGGATTTTTAAATTTACCTAATCTTTCCAGCCGCACTATGGCCCTGGGGTCGACTCAGCCTCTAACAGAAATGATTACCATGAATCTTCCTGTGAGGTAAAGGGCGGCCGGCGCGTAAGGCTGGCAACCTCACCACTGTGAGCCGATTGTCTATAATATGTGGGAGCCTCGACGTCTCACAACCATTTGGGCCTCCACGGCCTACTGGATAGTTCTACCTCTACCCTCCATATCTGGAGGTCGTCTCCTCCAAGGACAAGGGGCCCACGTAACAGGTATCATATATTACTGGGAAGACACATCAAGGGTGACGTGTCCAAGAATGTGAACATGAGAAATGAACACACTAATTTAGTCTGAAGATAAGGCCGCGCCATAGCTCAAGCGGTTAGTCGCTGGCTTCCCACCGCGGTGGTCCGGGTTCGATCCCGGGTCTGGTCAAGTGGGATTTGTGGTGGAAAAAGTGGCTCTGGGGCAGGTTTTCTCCGAGTACTTCGGTTTCCCCTGCCAATCTTCATTCCACCAATTGCTCCACAATCACCCTCACCTATCATCTGGGGCTGGTAGAATAGGCCAGAAGTGGCTGCAGTACAGGGACTTAGTCCCACACCACTAAGGCGGAAAACATCAACTACGGGACGTATGAAAAAGGGAACGATAATACTAAAAAGAAAACAGAATGTGGGGGGAGGCGCAGACTGAATTCAACCGGCTTCGAACAGGGTTTTGTGACACGCAAGGTTGGAAATCTGCTGGATTTTCAGTTTCCCCATAAAGCATCTGCGCCATGAAGGTATTCAGATGACTGCAGCAGTGCTGATGCCTACCTTCAGACGGGTCATAAGCAGCAGCTCCTCTTGGTAACGCCTCTAGGTCATAGGTCAGAGAGGCCACCTCCTTCGTGAAGTCGGTTTTGGAGGTAGCCGCTTCTACATACAGAGCAGCCTGGCCGCCTCGACTATGGAAACACCTCACCAGCTGCACGGGCGCTCCGTCTTCCGCGGAGAAAAGTGGAACTAATGATCTCGGTCCTTCTAGAAATATTCGTGCTCCCCCGAAGTTGGACCCCACTTTCACACATCCCCGGAAGTCTCTCCCTGATGCTCCAAGTCTGACGAGCACCCGGAGGGCCCCGCGAGGGTACACCCACTCCAAATGCCCTTGAGAACATCGTAGGTAGACAGGAGTGACCCCTCGTCTTTGTCCATCGGAAGCTGATGTTGATAATCCACTGAAACAATGGAATATTTGTTATTTTCTCGGGCTGCCGATTACATGTGTACTAACCTAGGTCTATATTTAAGATAGTCGCAAATAACAGGACACAGGATCAACTGCAAATCTCCTGCAGACAGTATAGGACTTTCAACGCACAGAAATATAAATCAACGATTATACAAACGAGTGATACAATCTATAAACCCCGTAATGACTTAATTTCTTCAACACAATATATATAAATTCAGTTCATACCTCACAGGAAACACGTTACGTCTCTGCTACAAAGCCCAACCGGTTAATAGTCGCTGTTTATTGTGAAAACCATACGAAATACAGATACACTGTGTGAGCAGAATGCAAAGCTGTAGTATTGTCACGTGTCTGGGGTTCCGTAACAAACAACGGGTTCTGGTTTGGATTTATTTGCAATTCTATTACAATTACAATCAATTATAACCGCTCACAATCTACGGCTGTCTAACACTCGCTCCATTCCTTACTGGACTACGAGTGTCTTCTCTTCCTACTCTAAGTTACTTGGTTCTGATTTACTAATCGGTCACTTACGAATCACTAGGAACGAGTAACGAATACAGAGCAAGACAGCTCCTTACGAATGAACTGAACTAACTTTGGGGCGAACCGAATGTCACCATGTCTTACACTTCCTCTGTTGTTGTTTTACTGTGTTTATTCGTTGCAACGGGAACGTGCTTACCGAACCGTTGCCCAGCAATGGGCTATTCCATGTGTATTTGTTGCAGCGGGAACGTGCTCACCGAATCGTTGCCTAGCAATGGTAATATTCGTCACAGTCTGTTAAAGTGGGCGGTACATATAGTGACCAGTCGGCTTTATAAGGTTAGGTCTCACATTTCCACTGCCACAGCTTGCCACTATCTACAAGTCTTCAAATACAACCCTGGGATATGACGCTATGTAGTTTGTGGGCCAAGACACGAACGCGGGAAAGCATGTTTCGGAATGAGACTTTGGGGCATGTTTGTAATCTACGCCCAAGCCAAATTACATATTTCTAACTACAATACTCGGGCATTGCTGTGAAAAGGAATCCTGAAAAAGATTTCAGGCGACCGCCATCTGATGACGTCATGTTCTTACAAAGCTCAATATTTTTATATGCCAATTATCGGATAACATATCATAATGACCTCGCGGTCTAAGGCAAGAAATGTCTTCGCCCGCTCGAACGTTGGGATCGTGGTTTCGAATCCAACTCAAGGCATGAATGTTTGCCTGCGTTTCTTTGTGTTGGCAGCAGCCTTGGAACGGGCTGATCTCCTGTCCAAAGAGTCCTACCGACTTTGTAAGATTAAGAAACTGACGTGAAACGAGCATTTCACATATGTCCTATGCTCCTAGTGGGAGCAAAAAGGATACATAGATATCAGACAAACGTTTACGTTCTATTTATGATAATTATGACCAACCTATGACGTATCTTCCATGTTGATTCAGATTAATAGTTCACTTCTCACTTTTGTCGTTCTCACCTCAGGAAGTGAGACGGCCGCCATGTTAATATTAGTGACAAATAATTAAGAAATAAAATACGAAGTTGGGATGACCTTCAATACCTTGAAATACATACTAAATTTCACTAAAACCACCACCTGATTCATAAGTTATCAGAAAACTTACTCCCAAACATACAGAATCATGATACAAGATGTATCCTTTCGTGTCAGAAAACTTGCGCTAGACAGGAGCAGTGTTCTGCATCGTGAGATTTCAAATGCTCACACGTGGCGACAAACAAATGCAGAAATCGTACGAGTTAAGTTGAGGGTGTACTAAAAAACATTATGTTCACTTCCACATGCTCGAATAACTTCCTCCCCACTTCTATATGCTTCACTAACCTACCCTATACTGCAAAATGTCAACAATCAAGAGTCTGGGAATGCTTTTTTTATTGCTAGTGGTGTGGGACTAAGTCCCCTGTACTGCGGCCACTTCTGGCCTATTGTACCAGTCCCAGATGATAGGTGAGGGTGATTGTGGAGCAATTGGTGGAATGAAGATTGGCAGGGGAAACCGAAGTACTCGGAGAAAACGTGCCCCAGCGCCACTTTGTCCACCACAAATCCCACTTGACCAGACCCGGGATCGAACCCGGGCCGCCGCGGTGGGAAGCCATCGACTAACCGCTTGAGCTATGGCGCGACCTGGAAACATGTTTCTAGTGACTCAGCTAAAAGCTAGACGACCGAGAAATCTGATATTCCCGACAGAGGCAGAGATTGTGTGTTCTCTGCGTCGTCCAGGCGGACCCTGGGACCCATCCAGCCACATATGTAATGAGTACCAGGGACTGCTTCCCCGGGGACAGAGCGGCCGTGAAGTAAAAGTTCGCCATTCACCTCCATCTACTGCCGTGGCTAACGCTCGGAGCTGTACCTCCACTCCCCCACGTCTCACTAGAGTGGTGCTTAATTAAGCACGCGGATGACTTTCACACATTAAAGTTTTTTTCCGTTCTGTACAGTCCCGATAATAATGAGGGTCGTTAAATACCTTAAAAAAAAAGTCAAATATTTTTATGATGAAACTGTACTGTGCGCAAGAAATGTTCAGGCACTTCCTGTTTGACTTAGACGTCATTAGAAACGATGAAATGCAACAAATCGCGTGCAAAGGTTTACGCTTCGGTTGAGATACTGGTCATTCAATTCAGATACACGCTCAAATGGTCACGAAAACACCAGTTAACTGTTCAAGTCTTTCAGAATGTTAGGGCAGACCTTGGTTGCAAGAGGTCTTCACGGTAGTTTATATTCACTACACGGTCTTCTGGGCAGTCTGGTTAAGTAGTTATCAACGTTTCGGAGAAACCTCCTGCTTCCTTCATCCATTCGTTTATTCTACATCCTGAAAATGGTGGCAGAAGGTCACTCCGACAGGTTCGTACCGCCTAGAGGCTCAGATTTACAGAAGGGACGCTCCAAGGAACTTAGCCCTTCTGTGGAAGCCGCCAATCGCTCAGCTCCTCAAGAATTTCTCAAAAACCCGTAATATTCATAAGCAGCTTCCCCTGGTCACTATCCTCAGACATATGAATTCAGTCCACATGCTCGCAGCCTATTTCTTTAAGATTCGATTTAATATCATCCTTTCGCCTATGCTCAGTTCTTCAAAAACACTCAAAACTTTCAAACCATTAAAGAAACCGCCCTTAGTGTAACGTCCAGCCCTATTCCATCCTTCTGGATTTAATCAGTGAAGCAACTGTTAGGTGCAAAATGCAAAGCGTAAAGCTCGTCGCTGCGTGATTTTTTGACCTCCTGATTTATCCTTCTAACATCAAAATATTCACACGTTAAAACTTAAAAAGTTCTTCCTTCTGGAAAACAACTCAATATAGTTCTCTGTTTGCTGCCTGCTTCACGCTGGTTTATTTCTTGGCTCACTATTCAACCCTAAAGATATGTGGCATGTTCCTCCGAAACGTCGGCTAATTTTCAAACGGACTACACAGCGTTGTATCGCAGGACACAGAAGCCTTCATAACCACTGGTGTGAGAACCTCAGACCCTGCACTTTTCCCCCAAATATATTCACTGTTAATCTCCCCTCGCAAGTGAGATGTGGATTGTAACAAAAGATCAAATGTTAGTGCGCTGATTTGCACTTGAAAACAGGAGATCAAATGTTAGTGTGCTGATTTGCACTTGAAAACAGAAGATCAAATGTTACTGTGCTGATTTTCACTTGAAAACAGAAGATTAAATGTTAGTGTGCTGATTTTAACTTGAAAACAAAAGATCAAATGTTCGTATGCCAATTTTCACTTGGAAACAAAAGATAAAATGTTCGTATGCCAATTTTCACTTCAAAACAAAAGCTCAAATGTTAGTATATGCTAACGTTAGCTGGGGCACGATAAGATAGAATCCGCTATATTGTCTGCAGCAAAATGAAGATAGGCTCACTGTACCTGGAAATGACTGAGTATATGAATTACTTTATGAACAATTCCAAGAACTATTTAAAGTACTATTATGTTGCCTATCTCAACTATAACAGCGAGATTAACGTTCCGTCTTTTATTTTTATTCTCCATATATTCCTACGAAGCTGCTGGATTTTTAGTTACATGACGCCGTACATTTCAGAGGAGAAAGTACGGCGCAAAAGAACTGGTCTACAACCAGTCCGAGTGACCTGACTTTCTTGATAATTTAAAATATAACACACCCACAACTGCAGCATATCAAAGTCCGGTTTCACCTCGCCCAAGCCTGAGGCGTTTTTCAGTTCTACTCATGAGGCTATGGAACTTGTAACAATGATTCCTGTTTCATTTCCTTGGGCTTCTGTTGGGCGTGGTTAAAAATTGAGTTATGTTTTGTTACGTGGATTGATATCAACTGTAAAGCGTTCTGTATCTCGACATCATTAAAATTTCTTTTGAAAAGGTGACCTTTTTAAAGGCACAAAAAGAGTCATTAAAAGATGGATAGAATTTTATTAACAATAACAGATGGTAGTAGTAAAAGAATAAAACCAATGAGTCATTTCAAAGTTTTATCCTTCTTCTATCCTCGTGCCTGCTGTACATTATAAACATTAACAGACATAATACATTTCAGTAATACTAGCTACCATTCAGCCCAGAATCTTCTGTTGTCCTGTTTCGTATTTAAAATTTTCAGATATTTAATATACGAATAACTTTACATAATGTTTTACTTAGATGTGAAACTCGGTCTAAAAAACCGAAATTAACGGCCGTGGGGATCCAATGCGCTGACCACACGACACCCTCTATCCGCTAAAGTTGGTACTAACTTCGCCCGCAAGCGGCGGTCGCTCGGTCAGTATAGTTCGCTTACGGACTAAAGCCACGGAGATTTTTCCCTGCTTTAAACGCACTGCAGAAAATTCAGGGTGTGGTATATCTTCTTCAGTTCGTGTCACAATCAGTAACTGTGTTCCATTGTACAGTAGATCTGCCTGCTGAGGAAAGTAGGTGAAAAACTACAAAAA